TGAAGGAATACAGTGAGAGAAAGGGAGAAACAGAGTAAAAAGCGAGGAGGTATAGAGAGTAACAGATAGAAAAGGGGAAAAACGAGGAAATGTAAGGAGCAGCGGGAAAAGCGAGAAAAAATGAAGAAATACGGGGACAGAGGGAAAAAGAGAGAACGCCAGCCTCGACGATTGAAAGTAGGTCCTTTAAAGCCGCTCTTCGCGCGCCACCCTTTAAAGACCGGCGACATTTAATCTTCGCGACGGGTGTTTATGAGTTGTTTAAGAAAATCGCGTGGTCGGCTGAACGCGGATTGATTAACACTGAAACTACCGAGCAAATGGAGTGACTTGTTCTCAGTTTTGTGTAAAAATTGGAGCAACATGTTCCTTGAGTGTTACGTTCGACGTACTCGTCAGCGAAGCGATCTAAGATAATTCAGTAATCACAGACCAGGTGCACGAGCACCCCGTAATCTTGATAATTCTTATGGTGGTTATCATGAAATACGTGGACGCCACGTGTGACGCAGCGATAAGTTGTCACCGTAAAGAGCAAGCAAATAGTTCTAAATCACGACGATGACGAAACGAACCTAGATTTTTACAATTTCCCACTGTAAGGCGCAAAATCACCCTCGACCAATGAAACACAACTTTCCTCCACTCAGAAATGCAACTGACCAGTCCCAAGCTATTTTCACAAACGTTATAATAAAGTATTACTTTACACCAACAATGCACTGTGTGTCATTCTTCGATTGAGACAGGAATCCAATCGTTTAAACGGAAATCCTTTCGCGTGTTACAACGTAACATTGAGAATGAAGGGATCTAGGCTTGTACATACCCGTCGAAATACGCGAATCTGATTTAAACTCTGTCGCAGAAACGCCTTCGCAGTTTGAATACTCGCAAGATAAGAATTCTGAAGTGGGTCGCTCCGACCTGCCCGGTAGTTTTAGCGTCGTTGATAAGATTTCGCGGCTGCAGGCAACGTCCGGCCAGATGGACGGCGAGAGATTAAGGGAAACGTTTTAGATTTCGAGGGGCACAGTTTCCGGTGTTCGAGAGGAAAGTGGTCGAATGGAAGCCGGAGAGTGGTCTTATAATTGGGAGAAAGTTGAGAGGCCGCTCGAGAACACTTCCGCCATCTTGAATCGCACACTCGACACCTACTTCCGCGCCATATTGGCCTGCGACCGTGTTTAACGTGGCCATCGGGCCGTTCTTCGCTCGGGACCGGGAAATGTTTACTTTGGAAAGAGGCGTGGCCTGATTTGTGCCATTGTTTTCTCTGTAGTACAGTAATCTTGATCTTTCGTATGTTTCTTGCTTGTTTATTGCATATATTACTCCTTGTTCCAGTATGTCTCTGTTCCTAGCAATCAAGCGAAAGATGTATCCTTTAATCATCGACGATAAGACTAGTTAATAGATCGAACAGAAAGATGAAATTGTATATTGTAAATCAATTACGAATGTTGACACAAATATTCACAATGTTAACCAGTAAAAGATAAATCTTGCTATAAAGCCTGCCACGTGGACAATTAGAAGCTGAGTTATGAGAATTCTCTAGGTTTTACCGCATAAATTCGCATTTTGACCGATAATTCACGA